CCAACCTTGGCTAGCGAAGATGCGGCTTGCAGAGGATGTGCTGTCACCTCCTGTACCTGGTGGCTGTCCAGCCTGGTTCCTTACAGAAATGTGGCTTCTATAACTGTTGGACAGTCAAGTCCATCTCATGAACCAATTTTAAAYGTGGTGTTTTGAGGGAAATTTGTGGAGGGGAAGCAATCTTCACAAAGGGGAGTTCCTGCAGGTAGTGTGGCAGTGGGTAGCTGGGACGAGGAAGGTGCTGAGAGCACTTACCTGTATCTTGCACATTTCATGCAAGAGAATTTCTTGTTATGAAAATACAGGCTTATTTTCATTATTATATCTCCATTTCTATTTTTGTTTTTTTTTTTTGGACCAGGTACGAATTTGAACCATTAGTTAACACCAGCAATTTCGTGTGTTGAAGAAAAAGGCTGTTTTGTGCCAGTAAATATGGGTGACAGATTGCTGTATTTACTTCTAAACTGCAACACGTTTCCTTCTCATTATCCCTTCAAAGGAAGATTGCAACAGGATAGTGTAATTTAGGAGAAATCTGTGCATACGCATTTATACTGTTTTTAGGTTTAAGGGAATTTCGATTTACATGTGTCTCTTGTCTTGATATAGACCAAACTTCCAAAAACTAACATTTTTTGAGTGTGGCATACTATCCTTGAGAGGAAATTTATAATTAATGTGTTTACATCACTTTGCTTAGATGTCTGATACTAAAGCACTATATGCTGAAAACTGTAATGAAGTAGACGTCACAAAACCTGAGTGTTGATACTTCTTTAGTAAGCAGCAAGCTTTGCTTTTCAAAGGTTTACAGATGTTCTGGAATCTGTGCCCCAACCTAAAGTGTAGTATTATGTTTATTTAAAAGCTTGATATCAGCAGTGTCTTCTGGTGGGTTTCTTAGCTATACCAATGTGAACTAAAACGATTGACTTAAAGATTTTTTAGCTGAAGTGGCAAACTTTGAACTATTTTTTTAAACTTTTTGTTCAGAGAGGGAATTTTTTCTTCCAGTCGGTTATTTTTGAGATCTTAAGCTGTGATATATTTTCTGCTGCAAGTGGATATTGCATCTTTAATTGTATTCTTTTTGGACAGAATTCTGAATTTCCACAGTGACCAATGCAGACCTAGTGAAAATAATTTTGGATCTGTCACAATTAATCAGAATTCTAGTCTGATGACTTTTGGTCCAGTTTGGCCACCCTTTAATGTCATGGTAATCTAATTGTAAGAGGAGATTTTGGGGGCTTAAAAGAAAAAAAGTTCGACCGAGGAATGGCTGTCAGGCAAATCTAACTGCACATTAGAGCTGCCTAAACTGATCCCTTAAAGAAAGAGGCAAATTCCACAATGCCCTGGATCTGCTTTGTTGGTAATAACTTAACTAATTTGAGAGGCTTTCTTATTTAGTGCCTAATTTTTTTCAAGCAGAACTATTACAATTTTGGTTTGTCGGATAATCGCTGAGAGGAAAACGCTAAGGCCATAATATAGTTGCACTGGATCCTAGCAGCTTAAGTGTGTTTTCACTGTAAGATAAGCTTATGAAGTATTGCCCAAGCTAACATAGTAAATCTTTTTCAAAAAACACGTCTTTTCTCAGGGTGGAAATATTGAATGGTCACTGGATAACCACTACAGTAAAGGGGTCAGAATAATTCATTTTTAGTTTGGAACATAAACCAAAGAGGTATTTTTTTTCCCACCTCCTCTGCCCCAAATGCTGCATCTTTTGCCAGTTAACTCTCCTTTAGGATTGCCTCTTGTGGGAGAGGTCACATCTCCCAGCTCAGATTCTCTAAAACTCCAGTTTTTGKGAAGGTCCTGACACTTCTATATCCACCCACACGTAAAATTCCAACTTCAGTGGGAATGAAAAGGGCAAAACAGGTAAAGAAAGAGAGGGTCTATCACAGCCCTCTTTGGGAGCTGAGTAGTGGACTCTCTGTGAAAGTGTATTGCTGTCTTGATGCTGAAGCTTCCAAACAGTCATTTCACAACTGAGCCAGATGGACTTTGGATCTGGGTTATAATTCTGTCTTTTAAATGGAGAGATTCGTCATTACGGAGCCCTGGTGCTCTGCTGATGCTGACCTGTAATCWTTGGATGCAGCCTCGGTGCCAGTAAATTTTTGCCTTCAGAAGGAGCTGGATACAAACTATAAGGAAAGTCCAAGAGTATAGAATTCCTCAGGTGTTTTCTTGCCTCTCCCTTCTTTCAGGAAGTTTGCCCATCAGTAAATGGATCCAGTGACACTAAAGCTAGGTTAAGATGTGCATGAATAAGTATATGACTGGGATAATTTTTCTTCATTCGTCCACTTGACAGTTTAGGTGTGGATCCTACTTTTATCTACTGGCATCTCATTGTGGGAGGGGTACTGAAATTGAGGGAGACCCCTGAGGAAGAAGGTTCTCTCCAGCTGCTCACAGGCCCAAAGGGTGATTTTGGCTGTGAAATAAAGGCAGGTTCTACTGTGTGCCACAGTGAGAATGTCTTCTGGTTCTTGCAGTATGTTCCCAGGTGCTCGGCTTTGGCAGAGTGTGGAGGAATGCCCCAGTCCTGCCYGTTCTTCATGCCCGTGCCCCATACTCTGTTCTCCTGATGGCAGCTCTGTGGTGCTGTGCTTTCACCTGTGGCTATGTGGTGTCTTCCGAGGACACAGCTCCTGAGACTTTTTGGAGAAACAGGAATTAGAAAGTGGAAAGAAGTTGCTGTTAATAAGGACAATTCCTAGATCAAGGCTTCTAGTGCTTTTCCCTTTCTCCTTGTCCATCGTGCCGTGAGCTGGTGCTATCATTGCACTCCACTTCGAAAGCAGCAAATGCCAACCTGTTTTTCCAAATACATTTAGATCTGGTTTCCCTTCCAACCAGTATGTGCCTTCCATTGGGAGAGAGCTCAGCCCAGTAACCCCCGGGCTTTGTTCAGGTGCACCTGAACCCGGTGGTCTCTGGAAGGCTCCCAAATCCTCACCGCCCGCTGCGCCTGCGAGCGCTGCTCTGTGTTTCGGATCATCCCGTTCTTTGTCCTCTCTGTCTCCATGGCTGGCACGCCGTAAACTCATGACTATTAACTGATGGCTTGCAAAATTTTTTACTAAAACAAAGGCAACTCCTTGCTTTTATTCTTACTAACTTATTTCCTGATACAATCTCCACCTGACAGAGACCTTAGAGGAGCTGAACAAATGAGGCACACCACTAAGGTGTCCYCATATTTCAAGCTGTTATAGTTACCCAAGCAATTTTTTCAAACTTGCTTTTCACCATGAAATGCTAGGGAGGTCTTTTCCCTTAGTAACCCTTGTTATTCCAATTTGAGTCTGATTCATGCAGAAAAATACAAAAGAAAGGGGATTTTAGTTTTTAGAACTGCTGTGTATCCACAGCTGCTGGTTCCCAGCCTTGCTCAGGAGTTGGTAAAGATACCATAAATGAGATGGAGTCTCTCAGGTTCTTCTGAAAAGAGATGATCTCTGGGGAGAGCCCAGATGTGAAGAGCTCTCTGTCAAAAGGCAGAGCTGGGGGTAATTAGCAGCATATGAAAACGAGAGAGTGTCATTAGGGATATAGTCATCATTGTCAAGCGACTGCTGCTCTAACGTTGCCCGAAGGCAAGGCAGCCCATCGGAGATGCTGTGACCATCTGTGAAGGTTGCTGAGAGGAGAGCTGCCCTCCCGGGCTGCGTTAGCTCCGGCCCGCGTTCCCCGTGGCCGCCCCGTGCCCCCGGCAGCTGTGGTGCTCCCCACGTGGGGCCTTTCATCCATCATGTCACCAGCGGCTCCTGCCGCGGGGCCCGGCGGGACAGATGGGTGATGCCCCGGGCTGGGTGGCCCTGCTCTTCTCCCTGGGGCTTTGTGGCATGTGCCTTGGTGCCACTGGCCTCCCGGGTCGCGCTCGCCASCGCAGCGTCGCTTCGTCTCGCGTCTCCTAAGGGAAGTTGAGACAGCTCCGTCCCTTGGGACCCGCAGCCAGCGCCCTGGGGTCTTCTTCATGCAGCAGATTTCTTTTGAATGCTCAAGACCTGGTTTTAGCTTGTGTGCTTCAGATGGACACAATTTCCATACAACTGGAGAAAGGCAGGTGTCTTCCACCAGCCCTCCGACCAAGACCTCGTGGATGTTTCCATCCTTAAAAACAATTTCCGATGGGCAACCATGGGCTCCCAGCAGCAATTTAGCCATGAGGACCTGCTCCCAGTGTCCCTCCTTGTGGCAACGATCACTTTGGCTATCGGTAAATACCGAAAAGCCTTCCGCATGCCAGCTACCTATAACAGACACTTTCTAACAGAGATACTGGAATATTTGAAAATTGGAAACTAGAATTTCGTTGGCAGGCGGTTTAAATATTCCTGGTATCTGGTGGAGGAATGTCAGGCGGCGGGAGCGCRGCGGTTCGTCATACGCAGGGATTATTTTCGTACAGCTCTTTCATAATGTTGGTCTGGAGCCGAGGAGGGTCAACTTAGCAGATGCGGTTTCAGTTTCTAAGGTAAACACACATTTTATAACTTTGCATAACATTTTTAAAGGAAATTAAATATTAAATGCATGTATGTATGTTGTGGATTATTTATATAATATTAATGACTCCAACTAAGAAATGCCAGGAAACTCATGCAGTTCTTAGTATTTAATAAATATAATGTGTTTTCCACCATTTTGTTTTTTATGGCTAGGGTAGGGGTACTTGTAAAGCTTGGGTTTATTTTGATTTTTTTTTTTTGTTGTTTTTCAGCAAATGTGCGCAATAAGCGACCATATATTTGCTCTTCGTTGTAGTCTGGAGAAATGATAGAGGTTGTTTAATGCCGAGCTGTTCTTGACACTTAAGAGATCTCTCTCATTGCAGTTAGGACTAGTATATGCACCTTGTATTGCAATTTACAGCAAAGGACCATCATAAATTGGTGATGGAAATGTCCTACAGTCCTTTTGGTGATGGAAATGTCCTACAGTAACTCATGTTTCTCTCCTGTTTTACACAGCGAGGGCTGTCGGGACTGGCGGCGTGCACACAACAAAGCAAGACGATGTGCCCAAAGTGAACGATCCCAAGCTCCTTCCAGATAAGTTTCTGCAAAGGACAGCTAAGGTAAGTCCATGTAGGATGTGTGTGCATGTATATCAGAAGGATATTCATGCACTAGGCTTCAAAAAACTGAACCAAGGGACCACCTTTGGCCTCCCTATCGTCTTCTGGCAGTTGCTCTTTGAATTTGGTTCCCTGTTGCAAGGAGAATTATTGTTTGATCTGATAAAACTCAAGTGCCTTGTTATTTTTTTATCAATTATCTTAGTTTAAATTTCATTTTTTTTTGCTGGGCAGAATTGCTTAGCAAGATTCAGAGAAAGACTGAATACTAATAAGAATGTCAAGATTTCCAGAGTTGTCAGAATTAATTCTTGCAGTCTTTGGAAAGACTTMGGGCTGTTGGTTCAAGTTCTAAGTCCATCTCTGAATGCTAAATCAAAAAAAGACCACTGASTCAGAGCAGGTCAAGTTCTTCCCACATCTCACTCTTTCCTCTTCAGCCTTTTGTTCTGGTCCCTGTTCTGCACTGGACTGCTCTTTGGTTTCATCCAGTGGGGCAATTCCAGTGCTCATAATTGAACAGGGGTGCTACTGCTGAAGCCTTCTGGAAGATTTCTTCTGTGTAAGTTTAGGAAATTAGTTATGTTTCTGTTATGCAGTGATTTATTAAGGTCTGCAAAAATATAGTCTGGATGAACACCTCTGTGGAACAATTACTTAATGATATGGTAATTTATTATTCTTTTCAAAACCGCGTTGTACAAAGGTAAAACAACCCCTAACTTCAGAAAGCACAGGGAGGAGAGAACTGCCAAGCTCCCCACAGCACATCCTTTCCTGTGGTTAGCCCTGGATCCGCCAAAAGCACCGTTTTTGAACTGGCCTCTTCTGCAGTGAATGTTGAAATCGCAGGCGGAGGATACAAATGAAAGATTTTACAGGAGTTGCTTGTGTATTGTGGCTAATTCTCTGCGTTTGGAAGCATCTGCTTCTTGTCTGGTTTTGTTCTGTAATCAAGAAAATTGCTGTAGAGAGCTAGCACTTGGAAGGCACTTAGCTCTTCTATAGCCCAGAGCAACATGGTGGGAAAAAAAAAAAAAAAAAAACATTGTAAATAGGTACTCAACTAAGAAATAAGCCTGCACACACACACACATGAAAACGTGGTAAAGACAACTTGTGAACTTTCCAGATGCCCTGCTGAGTCTCCTTGTATCTCTAATATGTTAAAGAAAATAAGTTTCTCTGAAGGTTTTAGCTCTAGAAACCTTTGCTTCTTCCAGGTGGTCTATATTTTGGAGAAGAAACATTCCCGAGCAGCTACAGGCTTCATCAAGCTTCTGGCAGACAAGAACAGTGACCTCTTCAAGAAGTGTGCCATGTTCTCGCCTGTGGACCATAGAGTGCCCAGGGCCTATGTGTCTTTGGCTGATTGCCCTTCAGACTTTCCATCCAGACCTGAGGACTACTCAAATACGCTCTTCATCTGTCGCATAGTAGACTGGAAAGAAGACAGCAACTTTGCAACAGGGTATGTGACTGCTGTTGGAAGCAGATATAAGATTTCTGGTCTGGTTTCTTATTTTTGTTGGTTTGATACATGGTGTAGAGGCAGAAATCTGTTAACAAGGTGTCTAACATCACTTATAGCTGATGAGGTAGCTATGATGATGATAACTCCTTGCTAGTTAAATCTAATGGCTGCATAAAGCTTCTTTTGATGCTTCAGTGGACATCACTGCCTAAATGAGCATAGGGTCTGTGCTCAGGAGAGCTTTTAGTCTGGAGGGAGAACACGAGCACTTGGCTTGACCAGCACAGGCACGCTAGGGAGCTGGCAGCCTCTTGGCCTTCCCTGCCTTTGGACAAAAAGARCACAAAGCACGGAGGTGCTCCACTCCTGTCAGAGGAGTGTCACTGTTGGAATTGGTTTTGTCTTTTTAAACTCTTGCTGAAATGAAGTAGGAAGCCAAAACGTGGTATTTAAATTTGCTTTGCTTTGAACAGTGCTAGAAAGCAAGTTGTTGCTCCTGAAACAGAAGGGTGCTGCACACTGTGCTGCTTAGGAGGAAATAAAAGACCTTTCGAGTTGTCCAGAGTTCTTATCAGAGGTGCTTCCATGAAGGAAGAGGTTTTAGGACAGGACTATTCAAATGGCTGCTGCTGCGTTGGACCAGTTACCAAATTTTGGCCTTCTTGTGGGGAAAGCTCTGTGTTTCTGTGTATTTTTGTGATCTTTTGGGAAAAGCTGCAGTGCGCTGTGTACCAGTTGGAACAGTTCACTGTTTCCTGTAGAGCAGCCCTTGCTAAGTAATGGTGGACCTGAGTAAGTTTATGCAGTTGTCTTGGGAAAAACTGAGTAGTCCTGGGCTGTTCRGTGATGCAGAGTAGATAACTCTGAGCTATGGCAATGGTGTGGTGAAATCGTAAAGGTGGAGAGGATCTGGATGTGATTTGGATGTAATCTGGAGTATGTGCTGTACTTGGAGAGATAATGGGAGCTGGGCGCGACGCCACCTTTCTCTTCCCCTTGCAAAGCTGTTCTGGTGGGGCAGCGGGGATGATGCACAGTGTCCGATAGAGCTTTTTAACTGAGTCATCTCAAAACACCTGGTAAAACTTAAAATTTTATATAAAAGCTTTTTAAAGCAAGTATATGGGTGTGGTTCTGTCTGCTCTAAAACTACGAGTAAATTAAACYGAAGCCCCCGTTCCCCTTGAGTTTCATGTTTGTTATCAGTTGGGGCTGCTTTGTGTGCCCGGTACTAGCAAGTTCCACGTGTACTTCTTGAGAAACCACATGAGCAGCTGTCACTCAGTATTTCCTAGCTGAATTGCAGTGCRTGAACTGAAGTGGCCTCTCTTGGAGCCCACTTAACCAGGGGCTGGCTGTGCCGTGAGCTGCCCTGTGACTAAGGTTGTTGTTGGCGGGGATGTTTTGTCTTCCTCTGACTCCAAAAGAGGAAAGGCTGGGGGGTGATTGCACCACTTGGCTTCTTGGAGTGAACATCCCCTCTTTTCAGCACAACTGGGGGAAATTAGGAGAACTGGCTAATGTCTTGTTTCATTGGCTAATGAGTGTTTCTCTAATTTGTGCTTCTCGTGGCATTATATATTCTCATCTGGTTGCTTCAGTAGTTTCCAAGGCGTGAAGGGTGTTGCCAGGAAAGAAAACTTCAACGATTGTCTTCATATGTAGTCGTTTCCTCTGGGATTCAGTTGCCCTCCAGTAAGAGCCTTGTGGAGATGGGAGCATAAAACCTTGGTGACCCATTGTTTTTAGCTATAAATACAGGCTTGTTTAAACACTGAAACACAATGAAACTTCTTGCAGGTCCCTAAAGATCTTGTTTGTTTTTTGGGCTTGTTTATCAGCTGGCCATGTTGCCAGTCATGGGCCACTTGAAGGAAAGATGAGGAGCTGATCAGCAGCTCACTTCACGGTTGCTTTTCTCTGCTTTCTYGCCTTGGTAAGGAATTGGACCCTCTAGCCTTGGTTGTGTTACCAGGATGACTTGGTTGTGTTGCCAGGCTGGGTATTTCTTCTTGTGTAGCCACCTTGAAGTCATTTAGGCTGGTTTGATAGAAGGGACCATTAATCACAGACAGACCCCAGCCTGGCAGCCAAGCAAGTTTTCCTTCCTGTCTGTGCTGCCCTTTGTGTGAGTGCTACGCTGCTTGGGCCCACATGCTCCTTTCCCTTGCTGCATACATTAGGGGAACTGGGAATAAGAGTCACTTGTAGCTCCAGGGACACTGTGTGCTGGGACTGTTCTCTCCTTAGCTCTGCCCACAGATTTCAGGACATCCCTTTGGCCGCACACCACTTCGGGTTTGAAAATATCTGGACTACAGAGGCCACAGCTCAGCACCATCTGAAGTCTGGAAGTASAACAAGGAAAACTCCTTCAGTAGTTTAGCAGTCACTTCTCCTGGATGCCTTGGACATTTTCGGGTAATTTGCATCCCRTAGCTGATCTATCACAACTGGACGTGCACTTTCCTTCCTTTCCTTTTCCTTTGGGAGGGTCCGTGCAGTGTTTCCCAGTACAATTCACAGGATGCTCTTGGTCTTCGTGGTGACTGGCAGGTTGCTCTGCSGGGTGGTCACCTGCACGGAGGAACCTGGCAGGGGTACGGTGTGTTTCTGTGACCCATGATTGCCACCTGGTGGTCACCAAAGAGACACTGTCCCCTCTGAAGGCCACCCTGCCACCCCTGACAGTGTTTGTTCACCTGTGGCTTTCGTTGGGCTCTGACTGCTAGGTAGAAAGGAGCAGGGGAGGAACTAATGTTTCCATGGCCAGCTGGTGATGCCAAAGGTGCGTGGTGCTGCTGCCGTGCTCCTTCCTTGCATGGTTGCACAAGAAGCAATTCTACTGTGGCAGTGAAATGCCCGTTAACTATATCCAGTCCAGGTAGCAGATAAAGCAAAGTAGTTGAAAATACTGTCTTTTTTTTTTTTTTTCAGATAAATACAGTAGTTATTTTCTAGAGTCTTATCTTTTAGTTTTGGGGTGTTGCTGCAAACTTCCCTGTACCTTTGGAGGTGGTTAAGGCAGACTCTTCTCTTGCTCGTGCCRTATGATGATGGATGAGGCTGTTTAGAAGGAGGTGGGGGGAAGTAAAAATGCAGTCGCTGAGTCACTTGTGTAACTTTTAGACACGGTGATACATGGGGCTTGTGTGGCTCTTCTGCCTCAGGGCCTTAGATGTTGCTCTGTCAAGGTGACAAGATTTGCCATGGGATTTGCAATAGAATGAAACCTTGTGCTCTGTTCCTTCTCTTATTGCTCTTTCCAGAGTCATCCAAGGGATCTGAATCCCTTACATCTCTGGACATACATGTAAACACATACATTTATATATATGTGTGTGTATATATGTGCATGCACATATATATGTTTGTTTAGATCAAAATGGATTTGCTTTGAGGGGAAATGATGAGATAACCTTGGGTGGCCTGTTGTAAGGCATGAGGAAAGGTTTGATCTCCGGCGGTCTAGCTATTTTGGAAGCAGACCTGCTTGCAGATGTGCCTGTCTCGGTGAAGCTGCGTCCCCGTGGCACCGCTAATGGTGCAGGTTGGGAACACGGGATGGCTCCATTCCCGCAGGGAGCACGATGGTGCCGCCACGCTCCGGGAGCAGGCAGGCTGGCCGGTGGCGGGAGGCACTCGGCACCTCTGGAGCTTGGGGCTGCTCTGTGCTGCAGCTCATCCTCTCGGACATGCTCAGCCCCCAGCTGTCCTCCCGTGGGACCTTTGGACACTTGCAGGGTTGGCACTCTGGTGTCCCCACTCTGCTGATGCCTTGAACCCTGAGCGGCTCCGGGCCCGGTGTGGAGGGAGCGGCCTCCAGTGTGGAGGGAGTGTGGCCTCCTTTTCTCTTCCCTCTCCTATTGCTCTGTGTCCTCCCTTCACATGTAGAGGCTTGTGGCTGTGCAGGATATTCCACCGTTGTGGAAAGACCCTCTTGGCCAGATCATGAGCAAGTTTCTTCTAGAGAGAGAGAGATTGAAAAAGGTTGTTGAATCCCCATGCAAGCTATTCATTCCCATTTGGGAGCCTGCCCGGCTTTCCAAAGGAAACGAGCCTTATGTTATTGTGCTTTGTCTTTCTGGAYGGTTCTTATCACCTAACCTTTGAACACGATGGCCAGTTTTAGGTGAGTCTGGGGAGCCGAGAGGGCTCAAGTGTGTGCCTGTGGAAGGGGCTGGCTGTGTGACAGACATCCCGGGAAGGGGAACGTGGAGCACGTGCAGAGGGCTCTGTCCCGAGCGCTCGCTCACGGGAAACCAAGGGGCACAAACCTGGGCTGTCCCAGACGTGGTGGCTCCCTGGGAGCGAATGCCTGGCTGCTGCTGGGCCATGTGCAGCCTGTTGTTCAGAGGCCCCTTGAGTTAGTCTTGCTGCTCTTGGTGGCTGTAGAAGCCCGTGAGCGATTTGCAGCCTGGCTCTTGCTCCAGGCTGCCTATGATCCTATATGTGTTACCTTTGATCACATGCTGTCCTGTCAGATTGTGCTCTGATGCAAGTCATCACGCCTGTGTGGCTATGACATGGCCCCAATTAAAGTCCGTTGCACGCGTTTTTATTTCAAGGTACTTGGGAAATGTTCCCTGGAATGCTGTTAATCAAATGTTAATTACTATTAAAACACTAGTCCTATATCAAACCTCTGGGTAAACCCCTTATGGCTCATAATCTAATTTCAGTAAACGGATCAAGAAAACATGGGTTTCCAAACGGAGCTGGAAGGCGTTCTGGCAGTGGAAGGTGCTGCCCATGCCTTGCTATGAAGGTGCCCAGCCACCCCCTTGGGGTTTCCCTTCCCTGCCCTTCCAAGAGAAGGGGCACCTGCAAGTTCAACCCTTGCTGTGGCTTTCTGGTAGGGCAACATGTTGTCTCTCTTTATTCTATTTTTCCCCCATTCATCCTTCTGGCCTTGGAAGTGATTTGAGATACCTTTCCCTTAAAGTGCATGAGGTGCAAGCCCAGGGCCCCAGGCTTGAGAGTGGTCCTTGTGAGAGAGCTACTGGGGGTCCTGAAGACCCATGGACTTGTCCTCACCCAGTCTCCCAACCCTGCACTAACTTTTGGGAACGAAATGGCAATTCCTGTGGTTTATTGTTGCTGCTGAGGGCGAGGGAGCTAAAGCTGATGTCTCGTTTATTTACATTAAAATAAGAATCAGCCTGGGACCGAGCTGCAGCAACAGAGAATTATACCTAGGTGCCAAAYGTACACGTATTTCTGCCATACAGTTTGTACATAAAATTGAAACAATGAAGGGAAATATCTTTTATCCTTGTTTTCATTTTTATTTTAAAGCCGGGCAATGTGAACTCTACAATTTACCGCGCCACAAAGTGCACAATCCTTTTCAGCAGATTACACAGTGTGACAGGTTTATTGCCCAGCCCTTCCCATTGCACAGAGAGGCAGCCTTGCTCCCATAAAGGAGATGGGCTTGCTCGTGCTGCAGAGATGGGGCTTGTTCTGTGGCTTTATGGCACATTTGAAGCACTGAGAGCATCTTGCTTGTCCAAATGACAAGTACTCTATTTTGGCCCCGATTTAGGAAGGTAATTAGCGCCCGTTCTCACTCATTAGAATTAAAGCAGAAGGATCAATATAATGATTGTGCATTTTATGCAGTGGAAAAACACTTATTAGAGTGGCAGTATTTGCATTGTGTTATTACCCAGCTCTTCAGTGTCATATTTTGATGAATTTGCCTACATTTCAGCTGTAATTTCCTTGCACCAGGAATGTTATCTCTATTGTGTGTAAAGTGCCATTCATCCTAATGGCAGCGTGTACAGCTGTSTGTGTGTGTATAAATGTATATATTTGTATGGAAACAACAAAGCAAAAAAAAATCCGTGCTCTGTGTACCTGAAGGGCAGTCTTGCAATGAGAAKGGGGGCAAGGAGAGCTGCCGTGGGGCACAGGTTCTCATCTCACATTTGTAACCAGGTAGGGGGGGCAGAAGTGCCCCACTCCCCTGGATTCCTCCTCTGTGCAGGACTGAGGCCTCCTGACACCGGTGCTCCTGCACGGATGCTCKCTGGGGTTTGCACTGGAGCAGATGGAAACTTCCTCTAGGCGTGACAGAGCAGCAGTCTCATCCACACATGCGCAGATGCTTCTCCAAAGATGATTAGTATGTGGGACACAATGTTTCCCCTGTCTAGACTTGCTCCTAGAGAGCTGGCTGCTCTCCAGTTGGATGATGGTCCAAAGGTTCCTTGTTAGGAGAGAAGGGACAGACGCTGGGGAGCGTTCAGGTTCCTGGAAGAGTCTAGAAAATGGTTGAACAGACRACACATGGGCTCGCTGTGTCTGCCATTCTTGTGAGAAGAGCCAGTAGGGTTCTGCAGCCCTCTGCCTGCATGAGGCTTGTTCTCTCGGGTGGAGAGCAGCTCCATGAGCTGCCTTCTGCAGAACTGCCCGGAGTCTGGTGGGAACCTGCTCTCCATGCGAAGCTCAGGTAGTGGAGATGATGTTTTAATGGTGAGATGACAAATTTGGCAATTTCARCTCTTTTTTGGAAGCATGGATTCACTGCATGAAAGAGTTTGGGAACTAGCCATTTATAAACTGAGAACAGCSTGTGTGGAGAGTTGCGCTTTCCTTGTTCCTGTTGGACATTTCCATAGTTGCTATTTTGTTTCTGTAGTTTGAACACTCTTCTTCCTCTACAAAAACCTATTAATGTAAAACATCATCTTAAAATGAGATATACAAAATCACCCCGGGTTCTCTCTGGCTGGTGTTTTACATCTCCAGCAGACTGAAGTCATGTTATGTCCTGTATTCCTGCCAAGTCCCCTGCCAAAACTGAGGGAGAAACGAACGGGTGAAAGGTATGAGGACTTGGTCACAAACTCAGCAGCCTCTCTGGAGGGGACAATAACAGCAGGAGGGTTCTAATTATACACTTAAAACATCATCCCTTTCTTTCTTTCCGCAGGCAGATGRCCAAATCTCTTGGACAGGCAGGGGAGATTGAGCCGGAAACAGAAGGGATCCTGACAGAATATGGTGTGGATTTCTCTGACTTTTCCTCTGAAGTCCTGGAATGTCTTCCCCAGAACCTGCCCTGGGTTATCTCATCGGGAGAGCTGGCCAAGAGAAGAGATTTGAGGTAACAGAGAGAAGCCTGATCTCTCACTTTGTGAATTGGTTCAGGGTTTTGTTTGGTTTTGCTWTCATTACACTGTGAAAAGGTACTGACTTGCAGGCTGCTACCTGTGCTAACTTGGAAAGAGACTGCTTTTCAAAGCACCTGCAAACCCCAAGGTTCAGTTATTTGGAAAAGTCTTTTTTGAGGAGTAGAAGCTTTCTGGACTGTTGGCTTTCAGCACTGTTGAAAATTGAAAATTGGATGTTTGGCTCCTAATCTGAAAGCTTTATGTTTTTGTCTGGAATGTATTACGTATTTTAGTGATAGTTTTATAGAGATTTTTGGAATGCCTGGCCGATCAAATGATTCTGGACATTGTTGCTCTGAAACTGAAGCACAGAGAGAGCCTGAGCAGTGTTTGCCTGTCCAATGTTCTTCACCATTCAGAAGAACTGGTATCACATGGAGCTCATCACAGCTCTCAATCAAGTTAGCATTTGGCACCCACTATTTCCCTGCAACCTGGCACCTTTGTGCTGTCCACCTACCTCATGTTACCCATCCCTGCAGTTTCATGATCCTCCCACCAGCTTTCAGGAACTCCACAATCTGGTGGATGATGGACACTCTGGCTTTGCCCGTCTGCCCAAAAGAAATCCATTTGCTACACCTCAAAATATTGTATTGAAGATTCACCTTGTCACTAGATGAGACTTAAGGACAAAAGCGTTCAATTAAAGCCTAGCCTAGCAATAAAGCAAGTTGCAAAAAGCAGAGCAATAAATGGGTTATTAAGATGCTATGGGGTGTTCCACTCCCACACTTGCTTAAGTTAGAGCATCCTGTCATCTGTTGGCAGCTCTTGCTGTGTTGTGGGGGACGGATCAACAGTTCAATGTAATGTTTTTTTTTTTTTTTTTTGCATATTGCTAAGGTAAAACAGCTTGATTCCCCAAGAGAGACATTTCCACTCTTTGCAGTGGCACTAGCACTTGCATGTATATGGTGAAGCCCTCTTGGTTTATCTGTGTTATTCACATGATGTTAACACATTGGGTGGATAAATGGGTAAACTGCAGCTGGTTTTGTGTCTGTCTGGATGCCAGTTGGTGACTTTGGGCCTAATTCTGCACTGCAGCCTACAGCCTTTCTACTGCTTCGCCTTAGCTGGGCTTCGCTTGCTGTACAGTGGAGTAATTCAGGAAGGAGTCACACTTCTGCCCAAGTARTGAGTGGTAACGCTCAGATATCAGATCCAGACTGTAGGCTTGTAATAATTTAGAAAGGGAAAAAGAAAAGCAGCAAATTGGTTAGAACTCTSCAGTTCAGAAGTCTCTGGAAAGTGCTTATTTGTACTTTTTTGACTACATTTCAGTAGCATTCTCTGCTTCTTTGAACCAAGTTCTCTCAAGCAAATAAAGAGCTTGACTTGTTTCCAGTTAGAYAATCATTTTTGGAAACATTCTAAATGCATTTGTTATTATTGCTGAATTACTGCACTGGGACTTATCAAGGTGATAACACTTTTGCAGTTAAGTCATTTAAATCCTTCTCTGCCCCTTCCTGGCCACAGTGCATACCACAAAGTAGATTTCCTTTTGATCCTCTTGAATATAAACATTTACCAGTGAAGGTTTTCAAGACCATTATTTGAGCTTATTTTCCTAATCCTTTTAATGTCAAGTGCCACCCTGATGACTAGTCTGTGGTCGAAGCACATATGAAGATAACATGAGACTTCTCTGGCTATGAAAAGCAAATTACAAGCAAATCTCATTTGTTTCCTCACAGTGAGAGGTTTGTCTGCCTAGAGAAAGATGAGTTTCATCAGTAGAAGTCGTATGAGTCATGGCTGAGCAGAGTCCTGCACTTGGACACCTAGCTGCCTTCTCTTCTGGTCTCACCCATCAGACCTTGAGATTCTTCCTGATGACTGTGCAGTCACAAGGTGGCTTGACCTCACCTTTGTATTAAATGCTGCCTTTCATGTTGCCAATCAGTGCTTTGTTGGTACAGTACCATGTTGGCAATCAGTACCAAGTAGCTTGTGTGCCCTGGCACAGGGTGGCATCCGATGGGCGRTGTCTGAATATGGATCTCTCAGCTGGGCATGCAGAGGACTTGGGTCTCACACGACCCATGCTCAGTGGCATCCTTCCATCCATCCTTCCTGCACCTTGTGCGTGGTGACCTGTCAGGCTGTTGGGATCACTGTAGCACACACTAAATGCTTGTGAGACTACAGTAAAAGTGACAGGGAAATAAAGGCTTTGAATATCCTGTTAACACTCCAAAATAGCTCATCCTGATACAGTTTGCCTGACTCAAGTAAACGTAAATTACATTTTGACTTAAAATGCTCTCTGCTGTAGGAAAGCCTTTCCAGATGTGTAACTGCACTGGGAGTTCTGTTGGGTCATGAGTTACTAGGAAGCCTTTGGGATTTGGAACTGAAACCTGAGCAAAATGTTGAGTTTTTTGGTGTCTCCTCCTTCAGAGATGACCTTCCTTTGTTTCTTTTCACCATGGGCAATGACCCTTTCCTTCTCAAAAGATAACTTCCATGGCCTGCAGGACAATAGTACAATCCGTTGAGTTTCCAAGGCAGAGCGTAGAGCACCGAGTTAGTCTCTGTCTAATGGAGGGATTTGTGGATGTAGTTTCAGACCAAAATGAGACCATGTGTTTCGCTGGTCTGCTGAAGCTGGGCAGATGAGGGACTGCTGTTTTGTTCATGCCRTCTTGTAAATACGTTCCTTGATCTTCCTGCAAGCCTTCCAGTTGTACAGGAGGCGTGTTCTTGCCATGCCTGGTCTGTTTGGATAGCAGCTGTGATCTCACCTACAGAGCCTGTGCGGAATCGCTTCCAAGACATTTTTTCTTCATTTATCCAGTAATGGCTCACAAAGAACGTTTACATAATATTTTAATATTACTTAAGGCAGAAAAGATCCAAACTTTGTGGATAGCTTTGAAATCTTTTAGCTGATTTAACTCCCTGTTCTGCCACTTTTGCCTTGTTTTACTTTGCACATCTGCTTTACCTTTGTGGCTTTATCTGTCTGTAAAATTAGATGAGAATTTCCCTTCTAGCCTAGTTGTTTGTAAAAAGCACTGAAGACATCAAATGGAAAGCACTAGAGGTAGTAGGTACAGGTACTAGGAGTGGAGGTTGCAAGCTGAAGTTGTATTTTACTGAGAGAATGAAGTTTCATAAAATATTAGAATTGTGAGGCTGAGGAAACTTCCTTTCTTTCACTTTAAATGTGATAATGCAGGTAGGACCAGAATTCTCTTTGTATAATTCARGTTAACTGGAATTGGTGTTTCTTCATTGAAATGAGAAGGTAGGTTGAGGAGAGCAGTGTTTGGTTTGCTGATTTTGGAGGAGCATTACAGCACTGGTGTCAGAAGGAAATCTGTGATGGGCACATAGCTTCAGCCATTTTCCGGTCTTCTCGAGTGTTTCAACACGTAATTTTCGTTTCCTTGTTTGCTTTGCCCTTGGTCTTTCAGGGATGTGGGACCAAACTTGGCTAGTGGACAGGAGAGGGTCAGGGTGATGGAGGAAATGCAGTTTTTGGAGGTGGGCGCAGCAGAGGGGAGCACTGGAGGAGGAAGCCATTCGAGGAGGTGTCGCCAGGAATCCAAGAAACCCAAAAGCTCTTTCTAAGACTTGTTCCAAATGTTTCTAATTTCATTCATATCTTTTTGTTTCCTTTACTGCTTAACTGGGGCAAGAAACTAAAGCCAGGAAAGTCCAATCATAGTGGGAAACAAAAACCTAAATATTGGAGAGAGAAAAAAGGCCGTTCTTTGCAAAGCAGTTCTGCCTTTTGCGTGTCTCCTATTGTTGGTGTTACTGTGGAAAATGTATAACATCACCCTTTTGGATAGGGCTACAGCCTGTTCAAGTAGGGATGGTTTATATAGTCTAACATGGAAGAACTTGAGAATATCTATTTCTTTACCATTTGCCTAATAATAAGTGAGCCTGTTGACCTCCGCTGGACTATTACAAATGTGAAACTTGGCACTCAAAATTGCTTGCTCTAAATTTTCCAGTTGCTTTCTCTTTTTCCATTTGATGTCATCCTGCCAACTAGTGATTTTATTATTATAAACAGGACATTGTATTCACTTTTAAGAAGAAATATGAAGCTGAAGGTAAAATTACAAACTGCAGTTTCTCAGCTGGCAAAAAACAAAACAATGAGCTAAAAATACTGAGCAGAGAAAGGGTGCTGTGGCAAGAAACWGAAATATCTGCAAGATGGATATTGTCTGAAGAGCAGAAACTGACTTTAACCAAGGAACTCGAAACTCATGAGAATCATGGAATGGTTGAGTATGGAAGGGACCTCTGGGCATCATCTAATTCATCCCGTCTGCTCAAAAACAAGAGCAGCTTCGTTGAGTTTTGAATATCCCTGAACATGGAGACYCCACAACTTCCTCAGGTGACATTCCAGCTTACCCTTACATGAAAAGATTATTTTTTTCTTATGCTTACATGGATTTTCCTGTGGTTCAGTTTGTGCTCATTGACTCTTGTCCCATCACTGGATACTACTGGTGAGGGTCATTCCCCATTATTTTACTTATTTTTTTACAGCTTCCATCAATGTGTATAAATAGACATTGATAAGATCCCTCCTGAGCCTTCTCCAGGCTGAGCCATCCCAGCCTTCATAACTTCTCCCTGCATGTCTGATGCTCCTTCATCAACTTAAGGGACTTGTTCACTGGGCTTGCTCCAGTATGTCTGTGTGTCTCTTGTACTGGAGAGCCCTGAGCCTGGGTCCATCACTCACGAGTGATGAGTGTAGGGGAAGGATCACCTCTCTCGACATCCTCTTCAACTGTTCCTCTCATGAGGAGCATGAGTGTCACTCATGGTTGCTGAAAGGTTGAAGAACATCCAAGTGAGGGGACAGTGAGGACGCAGACCCTTGTCAAGGAACAGTTAATGCACGCTTGCTTCGCTGGAGGGCAGAACTAATGAACTTGAGTCCTGCAGG